ATAATATCTAAATCTTCTGGAAATTTACTCTCTTGGAAGAAAATGTTTTGTCTTTCTAATTAAAGAAATGCATATAATGGAAAAGTCTGGAAAGGTGAGGAATGTTAGAGATGCTGGCTATGGGAGAAGAAAAACCCTTTGAAGAAATGGGGAAATTAACAAAGGTCATTATTAAGGTGGATACAAGACCCTTAAAAATTTAATGGGTAGGTCAGTTTCCAAGTAAACACGCTGCAGATTCTACACATGATTACATCACAACTATATTATACTTAAAAAAAAAAAAAATGGGAAAGCCCAGCCTCCCCATTTTGAGGAAAATAAGAAAGACCAGGGGAGGGGAGAGATCTAGTGGCCATGAGTTGGTGGTGGATCCTGCTTGGCTGGATGGTGGGAGAGAGGTTGTGGGTTCACTGTCCTCTTTTTGTCCCTCATCTGTACTCAAGGACCCTCTGTGGCTGTCCCATAACCCTCGGATGGCATCTCAGACTAGAGCATGCATTCCCCGAGGCCCTGTTGCCCGAGACAGGAGTGTGCTGCAGATGGTGGAGCACATTGGCTAACTTCTTCTGCCTTTTCATGGGTCCTAGGGCTTTGGTTCTATCTTCTATAATGTGGGGGGGGGGGGGGCTGGGGTCTTCTTTCTGTCTTGTTACTGCCTCAAGTGGAATCCAATACTTGAAAAAGACCATGATACCAATCAGGTAGGGGATCTCTAGGTCCGGCTCACAGAAGAGATTGACTTTTGTTTTTTTCTTTGCCTTCCCGTTTCTCTAAATTGATTATTGAAACAGATATACATGAGGAATGGGAACTCCAGGGAAAGATTAGGACATCTAGGCTAAGAGAACAGTTTGGGCAGGGCAAGGGGGGACCCGGGCTTCTTTCCAAAGCTCACAGACCATCTACCTGGAAGAGGGCTACCTGGAAGAGGGCTCCAGAGTAACCCCAAACACCGTGCTTCTCTGTGGTTCATTAGGAGGATTCAGAACACATGAAATAAGCAGGTCCTCAGGATGGCTCATCAGCTGTCCTCCAATCTCAGGTGTCACTAGGCCCAGCCTCCCCATTTTGCTAGGGCTGATCTATGAGCCACACTGAGCCCCTGAAAGCCTCTGATCAGATACTACCCCATCTCTCCAAAGAAAGCAGAAGCCTATAGAAGGGAGTACAGATGTTCCTGGAGACCTGACATCTTTGGTCCTTCTTCAGCAGAGGACCACTCTCTGAACTATCAATGAGGACCACATACAGAAAATGCTCCCTTGAGTTTTCCAGGAAGGATCAGTAGAAAATACATCCATCCACCTTAACAATGAATAACATAGAAAGAATACAGATCACAATTAAATCAGTGCAGACAGTCACGTAATTCATTTATTCTTGTCTCTCAGCATCAGTGCAGAGGCAGGAAGAACAAAGTGGGAGCTTGAAAAGGAAAGGTTCTGCTATTCAACCCCCAGTTCCAAAAGGGTTAACTTTTCTCTCTCCTCTCTGTGAGGTTCTAGGGCCCCTAGGATGTCAGTTCCCAGAGCTGGTCCTCAGGAAGCAGAGGCCCTCAAAGAGAGGCACCTAACAAGGAAAGCCCAACTTGAAGCCCAGGTCCTGCCAGAGGTTCCATCAAAAAGCAAATTTTAAAACAGCAGTGGCAATGTCCACAATAGCCAAACTGTGGAAAGAGCCAAGATGTCCATTGACAGATGAATGGATAAAGAAGATGTGGTATACATATACAATGGAATATTATGCAGCCATCAAAAGGAATGAGATCTTGCCGTTTGCAACGATGTGGATGGAACTGGAGGGTATTATGCTGAGCGAAATAAGTCAAACAGAGAAAGAGATGTATCATATGACCTCACTGATATGAGGAATTCTTAATCGCAGGAAACAAACTGAGGGTTGCTGGAGTGGGGGGTGGGGTGGGAGGGATGGGGTGACTGGGTGATAGACACTGGGGAGGGTATGTGCTCTGGTAAGTGCTGTGAATTGTGCAAGACTGTTGAATCTCAGATCTGTACCTCTGAAACAAATAATGCAATATATGTTAAGAAAAAAAAAAGAAGATGATAGCGGTGGGGGGGAAGAATGAAGGGGGGGAAATCGGAGGGGGAGATGAACCATGAGAGACTATGGACTCTGAAAAACAAACTGAGGGTTCTGGGGTGGGGGGTGGGAAGATGGGTTAGCCTGGTGGTGGGTATTAAAGAGAGCACGTTCTGCATGGAGCAGTGGGTGTTATATGCAAACAATGAATCACGGAACACTACATCTAAAACTAATGATGTAATGTATGGGGATTAACATAAGAATAAAAAAAAATTAAATTAAATTAAAACAGCAGTGGCATCTGCAGCAGAAGCTTCATCCCTGAAGAAGAGCGAAGGGACAAAAAGATCTGTGGCTCAAAGCCTAAACAGTGTCCGCCCCTGTGCGGAACCCAGGCCCACTAGATACTAGAGTTGCCTCTGCGGGCAGAGGGAAGATTGAAGCTCACAAAGAACAAGTCCATCACTGGCCAGAGCCTAAGAAAGAAACGGGCTTGTGCATGGACCTCAAGCAAAGACAGGGAGTCCCCTCAAGGAGAATCTCAAGGACCCAGCAGACCAAAAATACAAATTTTTGTAATGACAGCACCGCTTTCTTCCCTGAGTAAAGGTAGGGCTTTCAGCCCCCAAGCCTTCAAGCAGAACCTAAGGCTCTGAAGGCCTAAGCATTAATATGCAGGTCACAGAGACAATCAGAAAACCCAAAACAACTGCACAATTCCAAAAAGCAACTGTATTTGAGGCGACCTCCTCTGTGCTCCCCAGGAGCTTATGCCCACAGCTGGGCCCTGAAAGCCCAGGCCAAGGACGCCCCAGCCATCAGGCCATGTTCACCAGAGCCCCAGACTCTGTCTCAGGGGGTGGGTTTCCTCTGGTGAGCCAGAAAATTCTCCTCCACCCTCTACCTCCAGCAAAATTTCTCTCCAAGCAATGCAATTAGAGAAAATAAATTCGTTTTCACATTACCACATCCTCTGAAGAGGATGGTCTCTGTTGCCCCTAACCAGCACTGTTTACTCTCATTCTATTATTGTCTTCTTGTTTCTTCGGTCTGTGGTGTGTTCAGGGGGGAGGTTTAGGGAATTCCAGGAGCTCAGGCCAAGAGAAAATAATGCTTTTGCTTCAGCTCCTACTGGGAGGCAGCTTTGGCTTCTCAGAGGTGACCAGGGCCAGGAAGGAAGTCTGACAGTGGCAATGTGTACCCACCCTGTTCCTTCATGCGTATCTGTGAGGATATCCCATTTTCAAAAGGAGTAATTATAATACTGCTATTATAAAATATACACATATGCACAAAGACCCTACCTTATACACATTCACAAGTTTTAAGCAATGTGAAAAATCAAGACCAGACCCCAGGACCTTGATCACTCAGTTGTTCCTCCTCTCTCTCATTGTCGTGAACACTACACAGCTGTGGGGTGAAGTGGATGTGGTTCACAGGCTTCAAAGGGCCAAGAATGACCCCTCGGGCCCGAGAAAACATCACATACCCTAAAAACGAAACTGGAAGTTTGGGGATTATGAGGCCCTGAGTTCAAGAGTAAGGAGAACCCTCCAACGACCCTAAGCCTGTTGGTGGAGAGCTTCCACCTGCCCCCAAGAACCCCCTTCCATTCCTGCTTTAGGCTGGGGAAACGAGCACTGCTCCCCAATTCTTAATGAAAAAGTAGAGCTGACGGTCACCTCACCATCCTCTCTCCATGTGACAGGTTCTGGAGCAGCAGGGAATGAAAAACTCCTGCCTCTGTTTGTGTTTCACACCTGGGAGAGGAGGTGGCCCAAGGGAAGGCAGAAGAAACCTGGAGTGGAAGGGGTACAGCTTGGCAAGGAAGTCTCCATAGACCCTCAAGTAGCACTCAGGCCACTCTCCTGACACTACAAGAGAACTGGGTTCAAAGACAGGGACAGAAACAGGTCTTATGGCCTGAGTCACCTTGCCCCTTCTCCCATCTGCCAGAAGATGGTCCCAATCTGAAAGGATTATGGGACAGAACATTTTCCTTACAACAGTACCTTTCTGCATGTTACAAAACCTAGCCATTTTCCAATGGACACAGAGCTGGATGAGCTTTCATGGGAAAGGGGTTTGAGGGATATTGTTGAGCAGGACCCTGAGATGAACATGGCAAGGTCTGGGAACAAGGTCATGAAGCAAACTCTCAACTCAACCATGAATTCTCCCTGCTGAGATGGTACCTTGGAAAAGGGAATCTTCCCCATGGAGACTCTACAAGGTGCACTGTCCCAAGTTAAAGTCCTGATTAACCTTCAAAGAGGATTCTAGAAAATTCTTTGGCTCACAAAAGGTAATATATATACCGATGGCTAACACCTTGATAATCAAAGCCCCTTGGTTCTTGTTGCTAAAACAAATTCAGTTGATGGCAAAAAGTGGCCAATATACCCTCAGAGAAATGTTCAGAGTATTTGAAATAAAGTTGGACCTATTATAGAACAAGCTGAAACAAGGACTAAAGTAGTAGCCTTGAAAAGAAGAGTAAAAAAAGTAATCTTCCTCTACTCCAATTTCTGGGGATTTCAGCTCAACAGAAACCTACGCAAGGTGAATTATAAAGGGGGAAAATGCAAAAATAGGAATCCCAGAGAGATGTCTGACAACAAGAATTAGAGACACGAAAGGAAGGAAACACTAAAGGAAAAAAAATTTTTTTTTCTTTCAAATTCATATACTAAACAATGACAAATCTGAAAAGTGGCAGAGAAGTTGATGCCAAATGTTGCAAGGGGCAGGAGGGGCGGGGGGAGATGGAGGGAGGAAAAAAACCCATGAAACCATCCAGAGTGAGACAGCATTAGGTGAAGTGTTTTCCCACCACCCACTGCTAAGTGAACAAGCCAACTGCTAACATAACAGCAGAAGCAGTTTCTACAAAGGACTGACCACTAAATCAAAGAAAGAGAATGAAAAAAGTAATGAAATGTAATTACCTGGGCTTTTCCCATTCTTGCTCCCACGATTTCATTTAGTTCAGGGACTGAAATAAGAACGAATATTTTAATCAAGTTTGCCTGAGCTTCCTGCCCATTAGAGCTTTATGACCTTTGCCAGAACGTTAAACATTCTCCAAAACATTTGGCCTTTGTAAGGGCTTCAGATGGATTATAAAGCAAACCATGTGTCCCATTTCATATTCAATCACAACTCACACAGGCCTTTTAACAAGTGCTTAAATCACAGTATCCTGGAAAGCTCCAATTGGAATCAGTCATTCGGACATCTTGTCTGGGGCCGGGATAGGGTGCCCCCACCCTATCTAGTCTAGCTACTTGCTCTGTTTCCTTTCCAATGCCTCCAATGATGGGATATTTTTATTCTCCACTTTGAGACACTGCACGCCGTCCTATTAGGACCCACGGCCAGGAGATTCTCTGTGATGCTTGCCTTCTGCTCTGATTATTCTAATATTTCTCATGAGTGAGTATCTCTACCCAGCAGGAAAGAAGGAAGCTGTGAATAACGCAGCTAGAGATTTTAGAAAGAACGCAGAAACTGGGCGGGGGGGGGGGGGGGCAAAATATGCTTGTGAATAAATGGGCTGGGTTTCCTCCTTGTTCTCTAGATGCCTGATGTTCACTCCCTCCCGCCCCAGGACTTCCCATCACACTCTGTATTGTACTGTTCTGTGTATTCCTCTTTCTCCCCGCCCCAATGGGAACCCTCGGCGTCCGTAGCAAATACATGTTACATGGATACTGTCGTGCCCAGTGAAGAGAACTTCTATTCTATTATTATGGCAAGGAAATGACTGCTTGGGTTCTGCTGGGTGATTCTGGTTTCCAGAGATGGAAAGGATAACTCCTGTCGATCTAGAAAGCCTTTTACCGGGATCAGGCACCAGAATGGTCCATTAGTTACGTAAACATTAAACAAAAGGACGTACGTTATTCTGGTTATTCTGGCAGGGAGGATGTAAGCAGCCCCAGGCTCTGACTCTCTGGACAGACAGACCATGATAGTTTCCTCCAGTCACTGATAGCCTAGCCTTGCCCTGTGCTTCAGAGGGAAAACAGAAACCAACAGACAAGCCTTCCAACGTGCTTTTGCCACCAAATCCCCAGGCTGGTTGTGGCCTCCCTTTGTTAACTCCTTCCTGGTCAGGCCAGGACCCCGTCCCCTCTGTCCCTTTCAGGAACTTCAGTCCTTCACTTTGCTGCTCCTCATCTGACAGAATCCTCCACTTTACTTTCCACAGGACCATTCCCAGGAGCATTCCAGAGGCTCTCCTATCATCCAGTTGAAAACACATACAAAACAAGCCCCCTTGACCTCACAGTCTTCTATGGCCATCAGCTGTTCTCCTTCTCAGCCAAGACTCAGAAATGTTGCCTACAGACCTTTTCTGTGCTGCAACCCTCTCCAGAACACCAAGTCACCCAAGCATCTGTCCTGTCTAGTCCAGCAAACCATTACCTTAAAAAGACTACACTCTCCTTCATGAAATACTCTCCTTGGCCTCCTCGAACCCGCTTGTGTTTCTCTCCTGCCTTTCTGGTTCTTGCTCAGTCTCCTTTACTGGTCACACCTACCCAAACTCTACTTGTCAAAATGGCTCAAGGCTCAGTCCACACCCCCTTCTCTTCCTCTACGGCACCATGTGCAGAGGTGATCCCACCCAGTCTCTCGACTTCAAACAAATCTGCTGACGACTCCTACATTTCTATCTCTGGTCCTGAGTCCCGCACTCCAGAGTCATCTACAACTGCCCACTTAACATGCCCACTAGCATGTCTAAGACACATCTCAAACTTGAGATCTACAAGACAGAACTCTTGATTTTCCATTTTTCCCCCCAATACCCAGGCAATCAAGTCATTCCCCAGTCTTTTCTGCCTCAGCAAATGCTTCCCCATCTTCCCAGTTTCTCAAGCCTGAAACCGGAGTCATCCTTGACATCTTTCTTTCACAAATTCCCATAACTCAACACCCTATCATATTGATTCAATATCCAAGACATATTTAAAATCTGTCAAATTCTTGGGGCACCAGGGTGGCTCAGTGGGTTGAGTATCTGACTCTTGGTTTCAGCTCAGGTCGTGATCTCATGGGTTGTGAGATTGAGCCCCGCCACCGGCTCAGCGCTCGGCGAGGAGTCTGCTTGGGGATTCTCTCCCTCTGCCCCTCTCCCCACTAGTTCACATGCACGTGCTCTCTCTCTCTCTCTCTCAAATAAATCTTTGAGGAAAAAAAAAATCTGTCAAATTCTTTACATCTTATAGGCTGTAAATGGTCTTCCTGCATCCATTCCTGTCTTCTCCAACCTACTTCCCACACATAAGCCAGGCTGATCTTCTTTTAAAAACATCGGACTATGCTAGTGCCCTGCTTCCCATTGTATTCTAGATAGAATATAAATCCCTTAACACGGCCCAAAGGCCTTCTTGATGTGGTCCTGACTACATCTCTCCCCTCCCTATCACTCCCTGCACTCCAGCCCCACTGGGTCACTCGGAGCCTGTGGACCATCTACCCATGCCTCGCATTGCAGGAAAGCTAAGAACTACATTTCCCAGACTCCCCTTGCAGCTAGAGACCAGCTTCTGGTTTCATCCTGTCAATCACCAGCACTTGACTTGGGGCCTCAGTTAAGCAGGGGAGAGGCAGAGGATGAAGCACCTATTCTGTGGGTACAGACTAGGCCAGAATCAGTGTGGTTCTGAAGTGCCTGGCTTCCAGACTTGGTGGCTTCCTGCAACCAACAGTAGTTTCCCCGTCATAGAAGAAACACGTGGTTCTGGGAGTGGGACGTTGTCTCTGGAAGCTTTGCCTGGAGTGTATGCCTAGGAGCCTTTCTTCTGGTTCCTTCAGCGCTCTGTAAACCACTGAGTACCTGATAAGTCCCTTCTTCCTTGAACTAGCTAAGGAGGTTTCTGTTGTTGGCAACTGAACCCTAACAGATAGGCTGACCAACGTTTAGTTATTTAGCTGAACCAAGATTGCAGTTTAGAATGTGAGTGTTTAATCATTGTGGCTGAATGTGAACCCCCCTTCCGGCCCTTCCATGCTACATGACCTTAGTTAAGTTACTTAATCCCCCTAGCCTCAATGTTCTCATTTGTAGATTAAGAATAAAAACAGCATCTACCCCAGACGGCATCTGAGGATAAAATGGGATAATACTGGTAAAACACTTGGTACAGTTGCTGGCACATAATACGAGTTCACTAAATGTTAGCTTTTATAATTACTATAATTAAGTATTATTATTTCCTTAACTCTGGGCCTTAAAATTTGCTCTTTCTTATGCCTGAAGCATTCTGCCTGCTCACACCCAATTAACTCCCCCACTCATCTTCAGTTTACAAATCGTTTCCTCAAAAGTTACTTCCTGGCCCATTTTAATTATGCCTACCCTCTTAGCTTTCTCTCATAACATTTCTCCCTCTTAGAGCACACATCAAAATTTTCAATTATATATTGGTGGCAACAGTCATTTGCCACCATTTGCCACCCAGGCATCCCCCATCCTCCATTTTATTTATTTTTTTAAGATTATTTATTTATTTGACAGAGAGAAAGACAGCGAGAGAGGGAACACAAGCAGGCAGAGTGGGAGAGGGAGAAGCAGGCTCCCCACTGAGCAGGGAGCCTGATGCGGGACTCGATCCCAGGGCCCTGGGATCATGACCTGAGCCGAAGGCAGACGCTTAACGACTGAGCCACCCAGGCGCCCTCCCCATCTTCCGTTTTATTAACTGAAAGCTTTAATGTCCCACATCCCAGGCACAGATGCACAGATTTAGCTTTCCTAGGAGCTTGCTCCGTCTCTGCAATCAGACTGTAACCTCAATCGCAGACACCAGAGCCACCTCTTTCTAGAGTGCTTTGGATAGAGGTTTTGATTATGTATCAATGGATAAATGAGAAGCATTAAAAAAAAAAAAAAAAGCTACGGATAGGAAATCCAAAGGGCTTTAAGAAACCCGATTTCAGAACGAATTCTGCAAGGCAGATGATCCAAATCAGAGCCAAGGGCCCCCGGCCCCATGCTCAGGATGTCTTTAAACCTTAGGCCAGAAAAACCAAACAGTCCCACGTCCTGTTTCTGAGAGGAAATCGACTCTCTGATGAGCAGACTGTTAGGCCAAGCGCCACAAACAAGTCATGGTTTTTGTTGTTGCTCACACTGACCTGGTCAGGCCATGGTCGAGCGAGAACGACTCTGTCACAGGGAACTCAGTGGTGAGAACAGATGGCAATAATTAGGAGATGAGCAAGAGGGGTGAGTACTGAGGTGGATGTGTTCAGCATCCTCTCGATACTATCTGCTATAACCACAAATACACTGCATCTCACTAATGACAGGGGTTCCCGGGTCCTTCCTCGGGGCTATGACTTCAGCATCTTGAATATCCATATTAATAAGGATCCCTGCTTTTAATCCTATGAGACTGACCACATCATTTCCTGTTTGCAACTTGGCTGAACACAATGGCTGGGCTTTCTCTCTGAGATTTCTTCCCCACCACAGCAAACCTCATGGTTTGACCGACCTGCTCGAGACTTAGCCTTGCCAAGCCCTGTGTTAGATTTGCGAGAAATCAGCTCCTTAATCTTTATCACAGCCTGGTGAAGTAGGTACCATAATTATCCCCATTTCACAGATGAGAAACTGAGGCTCAGGGAAGCCAAGTAACTTTTCTTAGGCGACGTAACTAGTTAGCCACAGAAAGAATACTCACACTCAGGTCAACTTGACCTGAAAGCCATCCCTAGTATAGTTCTACCCAAGGTCTCTCACATCCCTGGGCTACCTATCACTAAAGTCAGCTCCAAAGGAATCATCTTCCTCTTGTCCTTTCATCCTTCAGGTATCAACTAAGCAGTCCCCTCCTCCAGAACTCCCATTGATTCCCAGCTTGCTTTAGGCTCATGTACTCGATACACAGCACTTCTTGTAAATCTGATCTCTCCCACTAGACTGGGAGCTCAGAGTGGGATGCCTATCGTGTGCACCTCATAGGCACCATGGACATATTTATGGGATTTATGGATTCATGAATAAAGATGATACTCCACAAGAGTTTGTTTGTTTGTTTGTTTTGTAACATGAGAACAAGGTCTCACTGCCTGTCTCCAGAATTTCCTTTGTCCTAGGAATCAGAAGAGCAGGTGAAAGCTGGTGGCATGCTTTCTGAAAATGCAGTAAATCCCCTAATAATGTTGATCAGTTGATTTTAAAGGAGCTCAAATTTCTTTGTGGTATGTGAAAGCCAGCTAGGTCTTAAGCCCACCACCCAGCAACTAATTTTTAGCTTTATTATAGTGGCAACAGAGGGAAAGGCTGGTGTCCTAACACACGTTCACAAAGGTATATGTTTAGGATATAAAGTGTCATGTTATCATCAGCAACCAAGATCTCGTTGAAGGACAGTACTAGAGAAGAGCATGGTCTGGCCTTTTTACAGCTAAGCAGGAACCAATAACAGGATATGTGGGACCCAGTGCAAAATGAAAATGAGGGTCCCCCTGTTCAGGAATTATTAAGAATTTCCAGAAAGTGGGATACCTGGGTGGCTCAGCCAGTTAAGTGTCTGCCTTTGGCTCAGGTCATGATCCCAGGGTTCTGGGATCGAGTCCCACATTGGGCACCTCGTTGGGCTCCTCACTCAGCGGGGAGTCTGCTTCTCCCTCTGCCTGCTGCTCCCCCTGCTTGTGCACTCTGTCTCTGACAAATAAATTTTTTTAAAAATTAAAAAAAAAAAAAAAAAAGAATTTCCAGAGAGTGAGAGCAGGGCATTAAGTCAAGCGTTGGCTCTCCTAAGCACAAGTTCCTGGGCAAAGGCGCGGGTCATACCCCGAGCACCTTCAGTCCTGCAACTGACACCTGCAGAATTCTTACGAAGTTCTTTGATCGTTTATTTCATTTCATCCTCATGGCAGCTGCCTGAGGTAGATACTTCTACAGACGAGACATTTGAGCAGTGAACAAAGAAAGGCTTTGCTCTAACTGAATGGGGGAAAGGGGCCAATGGAATAACCAGCACAGGACGCGAGACAGAAGATGAAGACAAGCAGCAGAGGTGGCTGAGCCACCCTGACCCACCCCAAATGAAAACTCAGCTGGACCTTTCTTTCTTTGACCTTCAGTAGGGAAGGAAGCATTGAGGTAGAGGAAATGGCTTCAGAGACCCAAGGAAGTAATTATTAGCCCAGCAGAGAGGATGATAAATACTGGTAACCCACTCCCTCTATTTCTCAAGAACCAGGACCACAGCAGATCCCAAATACTGTCCCCAGCCATCAGACCAGCCTCCTTCATCAGCCTCTCACCACCCAGTAAATTCGACCCCAGTGGCGCTTTGTAGCCACCCCAGCAGTGGGACCATGTCCTTGAGGACTAGAGGAATAGAAAGTGAAGGAAACAAAAGCCACTTCTCCCTGACCACCACTGGTTCCTGTCACAGCTGTATGGCCACCCCCTCCTCCGCCCAGAGGGTAAACAGTGGGTCTGAGCAGGGCCTGGGAGAGCATTCATCCTCTCCAGGGCACCGCACTTTTAATTAAAAGCTCTAGATTTGGCAGGAAAAGCCTTTAAGTACTTGAAGAAACAAGGAATATTTCCAAACACATCTCACTCATTTAGGAGGAGATTTACACAGACTCCTAAGGTTTTGTTTTTTTTTTTTTAAGATTTTTTATTTATTTATTTGAGAGAGAGAGAATGAGAGACAGAGAGCATGAGAGGGAAGAGGGCAGAGGGAGAAGCAGACTCCCTGCCGAGCAGAGAGCCCGATGCGGGACTCGATCCCAGGACTCCAGGATCATGACCTGAGCCGAAGGCAGTCGCTTAACCAACTGAGCCACCCAGGTGCCCCAGACTCCTAAGGTTTAACTAAAGAGCAGTCATTAGTAAAACACACAGTATTACCCAAGGTCTCCGGACGTACACACTGACCTGACCAGGAATCCCATATTAATAAGCCTCAGCAAGAGCAACCATCAGCTGAAGTGTTGTTCATTTCTCCTACAAAATCATTTCAGTGAAAGAATATTAGGCGACTTTTTAATGACAATGACATTTAATGACAATGAACCTTTAGGTTAAAAGCCATTAGGAATGCGCGAGTCCCACAAAGACTAAAATCCTGGCTGTACCACTTCTTTGCTTTATGACTCTGGGCAAGTTGCTTCACCTCTCCAAGACTCGGTTTTCTCAGATAAAGTAATCATTAAGATAGTATAACAATACCACCCAGGAGTGTCATGGGAAATCAGTAAGAATTACATAAATCACTTAGCATGGTTGCTGGTACGTAATGAGCGCTGAACAACAGTTATCTATGACTGTTATTACTATGACACTGAGGTTTCAACCTGGCGATCCTGTTCTCACCGTAACCATAACCTTGTCGCCTAGAATCCAGGAAAGTGCCTGTCAGTAACAGACACTTAATATTTGTTGATTAAATGATTCGCTGAAAGTCAATGTCTGCTTACAACACTAGATTTCAAATTTCATTGAGATTGGGACCAAGAATTAACCATCCCTGCATTTTTTTCAAAAGATACTCATTGGACTTCTATTGTATTCCAGGTACTATGCCCTTGTAGTAGTGTCTATTTCAGACAAAGCAAGTTCTCAAAAAATTTTTTTTAAAGAAGAGCTCTTGATTCTGGCCCTAAAACTCAGTTGCAACACAATGGCTAGTCCAGTGGACCTTGAAAAGGCCTGTTGGGCTCTTGTACAAAGCCCACACTTTTCTGGAATCCTTCAATCCAGAGAAACCAAATCTGTAAAGAAGCCTGAAATAGTTTTCCCAAGGAATATAGCTCCTGCATTAGGCGCTACTATGTCAAAAATGAATGGATGCTCCTTGAAGGCAGGGATGTTTGGTTTTTAGTTTTATCTTTTTTAAAAAAATAAACGAATGAACACACACACACACACACACACACACACCCCAAAAGCGGTAAGTAATTAGAATCCCCTTTAGTTTATAACCATAATCCCAAACCCTCTCTGGGTTCTAAAAGTCTAAGTAAAGGGCTCTTACTCTACAGAACCAAGTAAATTTCAATAGTCACTGTTCTCAGCTGCCTGAAGAAAGGGAACTAGGTCTATTTCTCCATATCCCAAGAACTACCCCTTAAACAAAAGACCGCAAGACTGCTCAGCTCCATGTCTGCCATCCCCACTGCCTCCAGTGACCTTCCATGACATGCCATTGCCTAGTGTATCAGAAACAGAAATTTGGCTCAGAAGGAGCTCCCAGTCACCCAAAAGCTTTCTGGAACAGAGGACATATAAAGAAATCAATTTTGCAATGAGTACATTTCTGGAGAATAGGGTCAATGGCTTGCTTTTGTATCCAGCGCACAGTACATACCTGATATTTATTGACTGATTGAATGCATGACCTGTCAAAATGGAGATTTTTCTGGTGTTCTGGGCCAGCGTCCAATCTTTAGTGGCTGTTGAGTTATATCAAAACCTGCAATCTCTTTCTTCATTTCTTTTTTGTTGTTGTTCCTTTTCTAAAAATAACATACTACAGAATTTTGCAGTAATCACTTACACATTCTGGCATTTTGAATAAGGCAGCTTAGTATTAGAATGTCAAAATAGATGCCTGGCTTAAGCAGGCTTACCACCAGGCTGGACGTAACTGAGCTTCTAAGGAGTTGCTCTCTGTGAGGCATTGGTGGCTCTGGCCTGCTCAGACTCTTGAAGCTCTTCAGTGAAAAGTCTCCCAGATAAGGTAAGTCCCTCCATTTAACTACACGTGGGGGCAAGGCCACATAACAGTCTTTCCAGACTCTTTGAATAAAAGGTTTTTTTTAAATACACTGGCTATTTTTTTTTTAAGATTTTTATTTATTTAACAGAGAGAGAGAGAGAGAGCACAAGTAGGCAGAGCGGCAGACAGAGGGAGAGGGAGAAGCAGGCTCTCCGCCAAGCAGGGAGCCCGATGCGGGGCTCGATCCCGGGACTCCAGGATCATGACCTGAGCTGAAGGCAGTCGCTTAACCAACTGAGCCACCCAGGCGCCCAAAATTTGTTCTTTTTTAAAAAAAATTTATTAGAGCACAGGCAGGGAGAGTGGCAGGCAGAGGGAGAAGCAGGCTCCCCGCTGAGCAGCGAGCCCAACATGGGACTCGATACCAGGACCCTGGGATCATGACCCGAGTCGAAGGCAGATGCTTAACCGACTGAGCCACCCAGGCTCCCCTACACTAGCTATTTTTTACATTGGATTCACAAAGGTTATTATTTTTAAGAATTCCAGAAAGCAACATGTCACTGGAAAACCTTGATAGACTATATAACATGTGGTTGTGTTGCGTTCTCTGGTCTGCTTTAAGGTGTGAGTAAAAAAATCATCAAAATGAATCCAGGGGTACAACATTGCCTTCTTTACGTTGCCTTGATTTTGCTCATTCTCTAGGCCAAATGGGTGCAAAATGGAAAGGCAAACACTAAATAAATATTTTTCTCCTCAGTTTCAGCTAGCAGCTTGTGCCTCCCTTTGGGGGAAAAAAATAACTATTATTTTAAAACATCTCAATAAAGAGACCAGCTTTTCTGCATGTACAGCGCACTCAGTGAGAAAGCAGCAAAGAAGAGAGTTGTAGAAACAATGCCTTTCATGTCTAGTGCAGTTGTTTTAATTGCTCCCAGGACTGGCTTAACAAATGGTTTCATGGCTTCTGAACAGCTAAGAATGTTTGGGACACAGATACATAAAAGTAAGATAGGAAATTTCCACAAACAGCCACACAGTGTGACGGAAGCAATACGGATTTCAGAATCAAAACTCTACATTCAGATCCCTAACCTGATACTTCCTGCTTGTGGCCACAGGCTCTTTGAATATCCAATTCTGATGTAAAAATCAAAATGTAGATCCTAGTACCTAGAATGTAGGGCAGAATGTTTCAAAATGCCAGTTGCTATACATTAGCAGGTCATAACATAATGTTGAGGTACACTCGACATTTTCACAAAATGAAAGAGTATAGAATAGAAAATATCATAAGGTAAGTTCCATAAGGTAAGTATTGTTTCATGAAATTTTTCTTCTGTTTTATCTATGTGTATAATGTTATTACATATATGTGTATACATAGACATAATTCAAATGTATTTCTTGCCAAGGATCACAGGCAAAGTTTAAAAAGAATTCTTGTATGTATTCATTATAGATAAGAAAGAGGATAGGTATATGAAAATATGTAGCATGGAGTAGATGTTCTGCTATTGGTGGTTTCCTTTCCAAGGAGAAACTGCGATATATGGACAAGTTTGTTATGAAATTACCATTTGCTATGGACTGAATGTTTGTGCCCTGCCCCCAAATTCAGATATTGAAATCCCAACCCAATCATCACCCAATGTGGCAGTACAAAGAGGTGGAGGCTTTGGGAGGTAATGAGGTCATGAAGACAAGATCCTCATGAATGTGATGCATGCTCTTAGAAGAGGTGCCCCAGAGAGCTCTTCTGCTGTTCCTACCATGTAAAGATACAACCAGAATATGGAAGTCTGCAACTGGGTAAAGGGGTCTCACCACACCCCAACCATGCTGGCACCCTGATTGCAGATTTCTAGCTTCTGAACCATGAGAAAATAATTTCTGCTGTTTATAAGCCACCCAGTCTCCGGTGCCTTGTCATAGCAGTCTGAGCTAACATGCTATTTTTATGTATATGCCCACTTTTTTTTTTTTTTTTAACACCAGCTGCATCTTTGCTAAAACTAGCTTCAACGAGATATGAAGTGTCTCACCAAATTTTTGGAGAGCACTTGAAGATTATTTAGGAGGGGAGTTCATAAAATGAAGCTCCCTGCTTTGAGAAACTAGTCACCTGTCATTTACTGCGGCTGATTAGTAAGAGAAAAATCAGCTCTTGTGAGTTTGTCTTTGCTAATTTCCTGGATGTTAGCCTTCCTTCTTTGCAAAGAAAAGCAACACTGATAGTAGAAAGGGAGTTCACTGAACCCCTTCTAGGTCCCAGGCTCTGCAACTAGCCCTCTTTTATGACTCTGTGAGGTATGTGTTATTTTTGTCTCTGTACTCATGAAGAAACTGAAGCTCAAAGGAGGTGAGTTACTTGCCCAAAATCATTCAGCTAGTGTGGAAGGAAGCCTGGATTGAAATCCAAGTCTGACCCCAAAGACTATGCCTTTCTCATCTGACAATAGCCATGACCCCACATTTGTGAAAACAATGCATTATTCCCTTTAACTCCCAGAGAAAGATGGCTTTTACCCACTGATAAGACAAAAGATGGCTTTTTCCACTAGTATGGGTGTTCCTGATCAGAAAAAGTAAGCCATCACTAACTGCATGAAGAGCTGTCAGGATTTCATTTATTCCCAAACAATAGAAGACTCCTTTTCTAGCCTCCTCACCCTTCCTGTGGATGACCAGGTAATTCCCACACTCGTTCCCCAACCAAAGTATTAAAATGAGCTTTAAGGGGGAGGAGCAAGATGGCAGAGGAGTAGGAGACATAAATTTCATCTGGTCCCAGGAATTCAGCTAGATAGGGATCAAACCATTCTGATCACCTACGAACTCAACAGGAGGTCAAAGAAAAGAATAACAGCAACTCTCTGAACAGAAAAGCAACCACTTTCTGGAAGAGTCATATTCTACCCCTTCATTAGTAGTTAACCTTATTTTTGGTATATGTGTGTGTGTGTATGTATGTATATATGTGTGTGTGTGTGTGTGTGTGTATATATATATATATATGTGTGTATATATATATATATATATAAGTTCTTTTCTCTTTAAAATTTTGGGATACAGTTTCTTCTACTAGACCAAAATATACCCTAAATCTCTAGTGTATGACTTTGTTCTAGTCTCCTGACTGATCACATTCTCTCCCCCCTTTTTTTTTAAAATCCTCTTCTTTCTTTTTTCAAACAACTTCTTATCAATTCCTTTTATAAAATCTTTTATAATTTTCATCTTTACATTCATATTCCATCCCTTCATCGTATTTACCCTTATTTTTGTACATATATAAGTTTTTCTTTCTTTAAAATTTTGGGAGGCACTTTCTTCTAACAGACCAAAATATGCCCAATATCTAGTGTGTGGCACTGATCTATGCACCAGCCTGATCATATTTGATCATATTCTAGTTTTCTTTTTTTATCTTATTTTTTTCTTTTTTCATTCTTTCCCTTTCTTTCCCCCCGGTTTCAGGTCTCTTCTGATTTGTTTAGTGTATATTTTTCTGGGGTCGTTGTTACCCTGTTAGCATTTTGTTCTCTAATTCATCTATTCTCCTCTGGACAATATGACAAGATGGAAAAAATCACCTCAAAAAAAAGAACAAGAGGCAGTACCGACTGCCAGGGACCTAATCAATATGGACATTAGTAAGATGTGAGAACTAGAGTTCAGAAAGACGATTATAAAGATACTACCTGGGTTTGAAAAAAGCATGGAAGGTATTAGAGAAACCCTTTCTGGAGAAATAAAAGAACTAAAATCTAACCAAGTCGAAATCAAAAAGGCTATTAATGAGGTGCAATAAAAAATGGAGGCTCTACTGCTAGGATAAATGAGGCAGAAGAGAGAATCAGTGATATAGAAGACCAAATGATGGAAAATAAGGAAGCTGAGAAAAAGAGAGATAAACAACTACTGGATCATGAGGGCAGAATCTGACAGATAAGTGACACCATAAGACAAAACAATATTAGAATAATTGGGATCCCAGAAGAAGAAGAAAGAGAGAGAGGGGCAGAAGGTATATTGGAGCAAATTATAGCAGAGAACTTCCCTAATGTGGGGAAGGAAACAGACATCAAAATCCAGGAGGTACAGAGAACCCCCCTCAAAATCAATAAAAATAGGTCAACACCCCGACATCTAATAGTAAAACTTACGAGTCTCAGAGACAAAGAGAAAATCCTGAAAGCAGCTCAGGAGAAGAGATCTGTAAACTACAATGGTAGAAAGATTAGATTGGCAACAGACCTATCCACAGAGACCTGGCAGGCCAGAAAGGACTGGCAGGATATATTCAGAGCACTACATGAGAAAAACATGCAGCCCAGAATACGATATCCAGCTAGGCTGTCATTGAAAATAGAAGGAAAGATACAAAGCTTCCAGGACAAACAAAAACTAAAGGAATTTGCAAACACGAAACCAGCCCTACAAGAAATCTTGAAAGGGGTCCTCTAAGCAAAGAGAGAGCCTAAAAGCAACATAGACCAGAAAGGAACACAGACAATATACGGTAACAGTCACCTTACAGGCAATACAATGGCACTAAATTCCTATCTTTCAATAGTTACCCTGAATGTAAATGGGCTAAATGCCCCAATCAAAAGACACAGGCTATCAGATTGGATAAAAAAACAAGACCCATCGATATGCTGTCTGCAAGAGACTCATTTTAGACCCAAAGACACCCCCAGATTGAAAGTGAGGGGGTGGAAAACCATTTACCATGCTAATGGACACCAAAAGAAAGCTGGGGTGGCAATCCCTATGTTAGACAAATTAGATTTTAAACCAAA